GGGGTGGAGAGGTGGGGACTCTCACCCTTTAGTCTGTGCACTGGAGGAAATTCAGATACAATGTGAATTAGACTGAAGGGCTTGCTTGGGAGTGTTCTCTAACACACCTCAGAGTTAGGTGGAGCTGACAGGTGGCTCACTGTTTACAGTGAGGGGGGTTGTTGTCACTCCGCAACCAGCAATGCATGGTCTTGCAAGACGTCTCAGAGCGCCTCTCTTTGAACCCAGAGCTGCACTGCATTCGTGAGCCAGGGCTTGGGGGAGGCAGCCACCCCCTGCTTTACAGATCCCACAGCCTGATCCAGGGGCAGCTCGGGCCAGCAGAGGTCAGGTTGTTTCGGGCCCTCGCAGACCTGAGCTGACTGAGCTGTCCTTAGAGTGAGGCACTGGCCCGCACTGGGTGCCATCGCGAGAAGCAGCCTCCAAAGTGTGCGTTGATTTGAAGCAGCTTATGGGGAGGGTGCTGTATCCTGTGTTTTCTCCATAAGGACCCGTAGGATAAATTTCTCTGGGATCTCAGCTCCCGGAGCAGCATCTTTTAAGGAATGGATTTATGATTCTAACATGGCTTCCATGGCTCAGAAAACTGCTCATAGTCTCCTGCAGATGTAAGTTTACTTATTCAATAACGATTTGATGACAAATAACAACGTTTGCTCTTACCTCATGCTGTGTGTGTGCTGTGCTTAGTCGTGTCCGACTCTTTTGCGACCCTTTGGACTGTAGCCTGCCAGGCTCTTCTGGGATTTTTCAGGCAGAAATACTGGAGTGGGTTGACATGTTGTGACATTCCAACATGGCACTTCCATGTTGGAATCTTCCCAACCCAAGGATCAAACCCGCGTTTCTTGAGTCTCCTGCATTGCAGGCAGATTCTTTACCACTGAGTCACCGGAGAAGCACTTCTTACCTCCTGTTATCCCCAAAAGTAAAGTACAGATGGACTAAAGAGCTAAATGTAAAATATAAAACTATAAAGTATTAGAAAAAAACAGAAAAACATTCTTAAAACCTTGGAGATTTAAAACTTTCTCAACCAAGACACAAAGTTTAAAGGAAATGAAAATAACTGATTATTAGTGACAAAATATTTTGCATGTAAATATACTTAAAGTTAAGGAGAAAATGATAGACAAGGGGAGAGTATTTTCAGTGTGTGACCATCAAAGAACTAAGATCTACAGTGTAATTAGAAAATAAAACTAATTTCTAAAAACCAAGAAGAAAAAGTCTGACAAAATAATAGAAGAAACATACAAATGTGTCTTTCACAGAAGAAAAAAATGCAAATAGCTGTAAATATAGGAAAAAATATTCAATTTCAGCAGTAACTATGTCAACTAAAAGAAATATAATTTTTTTTTCCTCACATAAAGTTGGCAACAATGTAACAGACTGACACCACCAAGTATTGTTGACAGTATGAGAAAATGCGCTCCACGGCGCAAGGCTGTGCAGACTGCTGTGTGGTTTGGAGAGTTTAATTTGGGGAGTACTCATTAAAATTAAAGATCCATTTATGCCTCAAGTCAGCAAGTCTGCTCCTGTCCTTGTATAAAGAGGTTTGCACACTGGTACTTTCTGCAGTATTGTTGAAAACACCAAACACTGAAAAAGTCTTGAATATCCATCATTATAGGAACTATTGATTGTGGATTCCTCCCCTCCTTGGAACACTGGGGAACTGAGGGGGTTGGGTGGGATGTTCAGAGCAACACTGGTAAAGTTCTTTTATCATCAGCATGACTTAGAATTGTCTGTGCCTGGTGCAAGGTGATAATAAAAAGGCGGACTTGGATTCGATTTATTGTTGTTTTAAAATTCTCATCAGGCAATGCTTCCATGTTGCTTGTGTCCTGGACAAATTGCTCCCACTCCCACACTCCCCACTGGGGACCACTGGGATGCAGAGAGCTGTGTGCTCTGACCCTGTGTGCACTTACTGTTAGGAAGAAGGGGTGGAAGAATAGAGGGAGTAGGATGCCAGTTTTGCTGAAACACAGATACATTTACAGAATAATAATTCTAAATGTGCTATACATACATGATGCACAAATACAACTGTAGGCATTCGGTGGGAGACAGCAGGGATGTAGGGTTGTGGTCAAGGCAGACTATACCTGTGGTGGTGGTTTAGTCACTAAGTTGTGTCCAACTCTTGGAACCCCATGTACTATAGCCTGCCAGGCTCCTCTGTCCATGGGATTTTCCAGGCAAGATTACTGGAGTGGTTTGCCATTTCCTTCTCCAGGGGATCCTCCCAACCCAGGGATTGAACCCCGGTCTCCTGCACTGCAGGCAGATTCTTTATCGACTGAGCTACCAGGGAAGCCCGACTATATCTGTATGTTTTCATAACGTCTATGCTATTTATATATTTACATATTTACATATATGCATATATTTATAAGTAAGTGTGCGTGCCTACTAAGTCACTTCAGTCGTGTCTGACTCTTTGCGACCCCACGGACTGCAGCCCGCCAGGCTCCTCTGTCCGTGAGGATTCTCCAGGCAGGAATACTGGAGGGGGCTGCCACGCCCTCCTCCAGGGGACCTCCCCAACTCAGGGATCGAACCTGCGTCTCTTCTGTCTCCTGCATCAGCAGGAGGGTTCTTTATCACTATGCCATCTGGGAAGCCCTATAAGTATGCAAATGGTTAAAAGTACACATTTATATACCTTTTCTTTTTTGAGAGGAGAGCTGCCCTAGTAAGCTGAACAGAAGGGGACGAAGAGGAGGGCCAGGGTTTTGACGTCCCCAGAAGTTCAGTGCCATCGCCACCTAGTGGGGAGGGGAGGACACTGCCAGGGAGGCACATCGCCTCGGTCCTGGATCCTTTGTGCTGGCCCTCGCCTTCTCCCTGTTGATGCCTCCTAAGACTCATCAGCAAAAGACAACTTACACGTCTCCTTAGAATAAACAGGAAACTTCAGGCACCTAGTGGTGATGGATAGGTGGCATTTCATACCTGAATTTCAATCACGCAGACAACCCTCAAGAATATCCCTTGAGGCAAGTCACCCAGAGTCCCTGGAAAATTGTCTCCACTTGAGCTAGATGATACTGAATCACAGTTGAACAGAATTTTATAAATTTTTCATTTACGATCACGACAAACTCAATGGCAGATTTGTAATGCTCTTATTTTACAGAGGAGAAGGTGAGAGCCTAGACCAAACTTCTAAGTAATATACTAGCAGATGAGGCAGCATTGATGCTAAATTCTGTGACCTGAGGACCTCTGAGGTCACGACTACCTTAAAGGCGGCCCCAGGATCAGGGACCTGGCTGACACATTCATAGAAGCTGATACATTTACTGTAGCAGATGCTGGTGATGTCCCGGGCTGTATCCCCCTAGACCTACATGAGTTGCCCACAGCCATGGGGAACAATTTCTGACCCACTCATGGTTTTCCACCTCAGATCCAGTCTCTCTCTTCTCCATCTGAGGGGTTTCTCAGGCACCATTCATGCAAACCTGTGTATAAAGTTTATGCCCACCCTAGGTGGGACCTCCCTCTACCAGTGGGAGATAGGCGAATGGGTAACTGCTGCCTTATCTTCTAGGGGGAGAATTCTGAGTTGTGACCCACATAGCTTCTCAGTGGGTCCCTGGTGGGATGGAGCCCCAGTGGCCTATGTTGTATCTTCACTGGCCTTTCTCATTTCTTGGTTTCACTCTTGGGTTTCCTGGGATTGCTTCTCTCAAACTCTACAACCAAATTTTTAATTCCAGACTTGCTTTTTGTGGAACCCAAACTGAGAAGGCAGGATACGGTAGCTGGGTACTATGGGAGACGCAATGATGTTCAGAAAGTGGGTGTGGTTTCCCCAGGAGCATAAAATGTCATGTTGATAGTAATGTGAGTGGCAATGATGATGTGCCTACAGAAGACAGAGGCAACCTGACTAGGTCTTCCACAGGCTTGCAGTTTCAAACGGTTCAAAAGGGCATTTGAACTTTCTAGGCTTCACTTGGGTCACTTTAGAGTTCAGAAAATATCGCTATGGGAAGGCCTGAGTTGGCATCACAGAGTTTAATACTCAGTCCACGGTGATCACTGTGGAAGAGATCACCATGGATGTGAGAGGTGAGGGCAAGGTCACAGCATGATCATAGACCCAGAGCTGGGGATGAGCAGGGTGTATTCAGAGAATATAAAGTTAATATGGATGGGAGTTCATGAACTACCTGACAGTGTAAGTAAAGAGAGAGAGAGAGGGAGTGAGTGTGTGTGTATAGAGGAGCATTTTTCTAGGGAGAGATTCTGTAGCTTTAATCAGATTCTCTAAGGGGGATCATGAGCTAAACCACGAGGGAGGAGGCCCTGAGGACTCTTGAGATGGCTTGTGATGGGAACCAGGAATCACAGAATGTTAGTAAACTGCGCCCTCAGTTATGAGATCGAAACAACATTGATTGTGCCCTTGTTCGTATTCTAGGAGAGAGCTCAGCTCTTTACAAAGTTATCTTCTCCACTCATCACAACCATCCTCTGAAGTGGGTTTTAATATTATTCCCATTTGACAGATGAGGAAACTGAGACCTAAGAGGATGCTTTGTCCAAAGTCACATGGCTGGATGTGAACACGGGCAGGCTGATTCTAGACCCCATCCCCTTGACTCCATGCCAGGGGTCCTCAGACTTCAATGCATAGCAGAATCACCAAGAAAGCTCGGGCTCCATCCCCAGAATGTTGGATTCAGCAGCTCTGGGGCAGGGCCCAAGGATCTGCATTTCTAATAAGTTCCTAGGTGCTATGGTTGTGGCTGGTCTGGGGGCCACACTTTGCAAGCCCACTTTGAATTCTAAGCTCTCATCTCCAGAGAGGAGGGTACGCCTCCGAGAGTTGTGACCTGTGTCAGCAGCAAAACCAAGATAAGAACCTGGATCTGTGGGTTCAGAATCCAGGACTCTCCATGCCACTCTTGCTTGGAGAGGGGCACAGCCTACTTAAAAATGAGTGGGTGCGTATGTGCACCCCGCTTTATTACCTGATGTGTGTCCAGCTCCGGGGGATGGCCACTGGGGGAAGGCAATTCCTTGCTTAGCTCCTCGGAGCCCCCCCGGGCCCTCCTCCACCTTCGGGCCCTCCGATCTGTGGCATGGGGGGCCTCCTCGGGCTCGCTGCTGTCTGAGGTCTCCCTGCCAGCTGCCTGAAGGTTGAAGTTCACATCCACCTCTCCTTGTAGGCGCATCTTCTCGGCTGCAGGGTTCCGGGGGGCCTTCCTCTGCAACCAGGACAGCCTGGCCCGGTGCCCAGCTTCCCGGGATGAGCCCACCGAGGAGGTCTCCGAGTCAGACCACATGGCCTCGGGGTTGGGTGAGGGCCCAGAGGAGGCAGAGGGGCCTTGGTCTGAGCCCAGAACCTGTGTGAGCTGAGTCTGGGGTTCCCTGGGCAGAGCCCGGGGCTGCAGGCACAGCGTGCTCAAGGCCTCCCTCCAGTCAAAGTCCTCCTCGCTGTCGGAGCCCAGCTCATCGTAGGCGGATGCCACGCTGGAGGCTGCTTCCAGGGCCTGAAACGTGCCGCTCTTAGGTTTGGCCAGCAGGCGGGTTTGGGGCAGAGCCCCATCCTTCAGGGCCATCCAATTCCCATCGGGGCTCTGCAGAACTGGGGCCACAACTGTGGGCAGGAGGGAGAGAGAAGCCAGAGAGGGACCGTCAGCGCCTCAGAGTGAGGGGCCCCTCAGACAGCCCTCGTCCTCTGCCCCCCTCTTCCTAGAGCTCTTTCTGGTCTCCCCGCCCAGCCGTGGGCTCCTCCTTCCCTGAGTTGCTGTGACAGCCTTTCTGGTTCACTCCAGTATCCATCCTGGCTTCTGGCTGACCATGCACAGGGCTGGGCCCTCCTCACTAGTGACAGGGGCCCTGCGGCAGGGGCTGGGTCTCAGTCATCCTGCAGTGTTCCCAAGACAGCTCGTGCGGAGGAAAGAGCGGAGGCTGGGAAGTCAACTGTAGGGACGCTGTGGGCTGAGTAAACCCACCTCCAGCTCACACCGAGAAACTCAAGAGCAGGGACTGTCCTCAGATCTTTATTTCCCCGCACTGAGCACATGTGTATACGGCAGATGCTCAGTCAAGCTCTGGGAAGTGAGAGTATGTCTGGGGGGATATGAATGCATCGAAGGTACTGTCCAGACTGAAGACTGAAGGTGGGTTTACTCAGCGTCCCTACAGTTGACCTCAGCCGTGGACCAACAGGCCCCAGAGCCGGCCCTTTCCCGGAAGCATAAACAGAACTTCTGAAAATAGTCCAAGGACATTGACCTTCTGGGATGACCTCTGTACCTCCTCTGTTCTACACTTCTGCTCTGCTGAGATGGAGCAGTGCCCCCAAGGAGTAACCTGCTTCCTACGAGACAGATCAGACATCTTTCAAGACCTCTGGGGTTAGTCTGGACAGCTTAGCATGTCAAGGGCCAAGTGGTCCTCAGAAAAACCAGCTGTTTTCTACGCAAGTGCTTTCTGTTCTTTAAGGCTTCATCCTGAGAGGTGCGCGGAGTTTTGAGCTGAGTATGATATCTTTTTTGTGTGTGGTGTTGTCGAGCTAAGTTTTTGTTTCTACGCAATGATAAAATTACACATAGGTGCCTAAGTTTAGAGCAATTTATGCACAAAACATGTTTTGAAAACCAAGATCCTTTGCAAATTTATTTGGAATGCTCCTAACCCAGCAGGAACTGTTTTGTAAAATGGACTGTCTGCTAGAAGTGCTTATAAAACCTCCTAAGTTGGTCAATTTCTTCGTCTAAATTTTGAAATGCTCTTTCTTTGTTATTTGTTTACTGTGGAGACACTTGTTAACATGCATAGTTGAAGAGTCCTGACGCTTGGGTCACATTAGCTTGAAAACTGAAATGAATGCCTGCTATGTTGGATTGGTGTTCCTGTGAAAGTGAAAGTGTCTCAGTCGTGTCCGACTCTTTGAGACCCCATGGACTATACAGTCCATGGAATTCTCCAGGCCAGAATACTAGAGTGGGTAGCCTTTCCCTCCTCCAGTGGATCTTCCCGACCCAGGAATTGAACCGGGGTCTCCTGCATTGCAGGCGGATTCTTTACCAGCTGAGCTATTTGGGAAGCCCTGGTGTCCCTGGCCTACATCTAATAAGACACCTGCTCCTGTCCACACACAACAGGCAGCTGAAGTGGGGCTGTGCAGCCAAGTGATCTGAACCCACCTGCCCACTGTCTCGCAGGTCTCAGCAAGCAAACCGCCCACATGGGAAGCATGCCCGCCTTATATACAGTGTGCTGTGCGAGAGACCCCGTGACTTGATGGCCCAGCTGTCCCAGATGGGCACACCCCCCACTCAGACTGATGGTAGGAGGGGCTGAGCAGCCTCACAACAGCTGAGCCACCTCCCGACAGCATTTCTGAACCCCGCAGAACAGTTACTTGTCTGGTCCAGCCTGTCCACGCTCTTCCAGCTGGGTAACGCCTCCTCCTCCCTCGAGTGCTGGCCCCTTGGCTGCCTTGAGGCAGCCTCCAGCGAAGGGGTCCTCAGGGCATCTTCTCTGCTGAGTGAGAGTGCAGACTGCGACCGCTGTGCAAAGAAAAGAGGGGGAGGGGTGACCTCGTCAGGCACAGTTCCCAGGGGAACTGACTTCCGATCCGCAGGCACCCCACCGCATGGAGATGACGCAGCTGACGGTAATGGCTTTTCTCATCTTGAGGTTCAGAAGCTTCAAATCAGTACATCCTGCTGGGAAAGTATTAGCTGCTCAGTCGTGTCTGTCTCTTTGTGATCCCATGGACTGTAGCCTGCCAGGCTCCTCTGTCCATGCAATTCTACAGACAAGAATACTGGAGTGGGTAGCCAGGTCCTTCTCAAGGGGATCTTTTCTGACCCAGGGATTGAATCCAGGTCTCCTGCATTGCAAGCAGATTCTTTATCGTCTCAGCCACCAGGGATGCTACATCATGCCATATAATGGCACAAATGGTTCCCCATTTATTCCACTGCAAGTGGCCAGGCCTCCCAGAAAGCATCAGAGATGTAGCAGAATCCAACAGAGCTGGTTCTTACAAGGGTCCTACTTATCCAGTCATTCTTCCAGCTGAGATTTCTTAGGGCCAATTGTGTGTGATGAAAATAAGAGCATATTCCCTTCAGAGACCCCCAAACCTGAGCATTGCAGGAGTGTAAGTGGAAAATTGTAGTACAGTGTAATTGCTGAGATAGATAAGTGAGCCAAGATGGTCAGTCCACAATCCCAGAGACTCTGCAACACATTCCCATTTAGTTAAAATAAACTCTAACCTAAGGACAAGTGGTAGAAATGACTGACAAGAAACATGTTAGAACTGTATCATTTCTGTATGTTACAAATGTTATTTCGAGAATTTGTAGCTCCCATGTTCTACACAGGGAATTTCATCAAACAGAAAGAGACCAATTTTTTCCATTGTCATTTAATGAGAGAATTCTCTTCTCTTGGGGATTTACTTTGCTCTTTTTATATGGGTGAAATGGAGGAAGGAAAGGGCCAAGCCACAGAAAGCATCTCTGACTGTGATATGAAGCAAAGTATTGCTCTCTGACTCCGGCTTTAGGCAGTTTGGCGCCACCTGCTGGTCAACATCAACACTAACAGGCCTACTGCCTTCTCTCCCCGGGGGGAGAAACGAATGGGCTTTCCTCCTCTCCCATCACAGATGCTGAGAGTAGGAGGCAAACGGGGAGCGTGTTTGGAGAGTTGTGGGCAGGGCCCCCAGGCAGCTGAGGCTGGACTCGGGACTCATCTGTACCTGGGCTCCAAGATCACTTCTGGTGCAACACCTTGACTGAGTGACTTAATTTCCTGAGAAGCAGAAACCTAATCTTGTTCTAGCTTCCCAGGTGGCGCAGTGGTCAAGAATCCACCTGCCAGTGTAGGAGACGCGGATTTGATCTTTGGGTTGGGAGGATCCCCTGGATAAGGGAATGGCAACCCACTCCAGTATCCTTGCCTGGGGAAGTTCCATGGACAGAGGAGCCTGGCGGGCTGCAGTCCTTGGGGTCGCAGAGCTGAACACCACTAAGTGAGCAACTAAGCTCATACACACACACACACACAGAGTTTTGCTCTGCGCACAGTAAATGTATACTAAGTGGGAGCTTTAAAAAGCTGTTTGCGAATAACAAAGGAGAATAGCAAACACCAGCTGCAGGGTATCTGGGTGGAAAAACTGAGCATCATGGCTAGGGTTTGGGGAGAGGACAGTGCACTGTATAGCCTCACCCAGAAGGATGGCTAACCAGTCTGAGAAAAGAGGGCTGAGGACTGGGGCCCAGTATCCCCTAATCACAGGCCAGCCCAGGGCCCACAGCCCTCCGACACCAGGCGTCTGCACGCTCTGCTGGAGAGGGTGGTGCAGCCCGTTCTGGCCCCAGAAAAGTCGTAGGAAGCCTCTTCTACTTTCCCTCACAAGACCCCAAGGCCTATCCAGGAGGAAGATGCGTTTGCAGAACCAATACAGAACCCTCTAAGCTGTGTGCCAAGGGTCATGACCCAACTCCTCTTTGATTACAGAGGAGAGTAGGACGGGCCTTGATGCAGCAGTCACAGGTTAATGCAGCCCAGGCGTGGAGGAGCTCTCCCCGTCTTATTGATCGGATAAGATTCTGTGTGCATTCAGTTCAAACAGGCCGTGGCCTGTGGGAAACCCCGTTCCTCAAGCTGGGCTGAGAGTCCTGCTGCTTTAATACTGTGTTATATGACACTCTATTGCAACATCTGTTTTTCTGCTGGTGTCCCCACTAGCCTGCAAGCAACTGAGGGCAGTTTAAGGATGGTTAATGGTGACAGCTCCTGGCGCAGCAACTGGTATAGAACCGGGAATCAGTGCATGTTTACTGTGGAGCAAACGTGACTTGAGGTAGGCCACAGGATAGCTTTTCAGAAGTGCCTGTTGATGGTGATGACCTTACTAACTTCTTGGGTGACACTGGGGAGCAAGAGAAACAAAGAAGAAGCCCGCTGTCATCCTCACTCATATCATGGAGGGCAAGGTCTTACTTGGAGGAGAGCCAGGCTAACACACTCGTCCAGTGGATTTTTGGCCCAGCGTCAGTTCTGTCATTCCAAGGGCATGGCAAGCACTGATCCTGTCTCTAGTGCCCTGAACAGCTCTGATACTTGGCAACAACGAAGGTTTTCTTGGGGTTGGGCATTCAGGGAGCCATCTACAATTTTGGGAAATCCTTGACAGATGATGAGTGGCTATCATAGAGGAGAGATCAAGGCTGACAGTCTCTTGGCAGGTGAAGTTATTAAAAATGAAGCAAAAAAATCCATCCATGTCAAACTGCTATATATTCAGGGGGATACACCCTTCTTTTTAAAATCTGGCTGTGCCATGTCTTAGTTGGGGCATGTAGGATCTAAATCCCTGGCCAGGGATTGAACCCATGTACCCTGCACTGGGAGCATGGAGTCTTAGCCACTGGACTACCAGAGAAGTCCCAGGGGGACATAGCCTTGACATGCCTCCCACCTTGGACTGGCAAGACCCCCCCCCGCCCCCCCCCTTCCTGTAATCACACAGATCTTCCTGTCTCTGCTACGGTCATATTCCAACTTGTCGTTTCTTCCACGGACTGTGAGCTCCTGGAAGACAGTCTTCTGGGTGTGACCTTCAGTCCCACGTTTGTGGCTCAATTTGTAGGATTATAACATGGTCTGATTCTAAGGAGCTGATAGCCTGTTGCCAGGCGCAGTATTCCTGCAGCCTCCCCTGAGCTGTTTTCTATACCCTGGGCTTTATTTTTCTATCTTCAAACTTCACACTATAAATCACAAAATACATGTTTAAAAGAGAGAGGAAATGATAGTATTTCATTTTGCAGTGGCTTGAACAATATTTTATTTCTGTATGTGTGTGTCTGTAAGAGGTGGCTGGGTTCCACTTCTATAGGACAAAAATGCTCCCTTACTTATAAAAGCCAAGATCAAAACAGGAATAGTCCTTCTCTGGTCCCAACAGGGAAGATGAGATCTATGTTTTTCATGAGCTAAGGATGCCGGGCTTTCATAACCTATTTCAGGAAAGCCACTGTTTCACACTAGGGGAAAAAACTACATCCTGACAATCACGAAAATCCCTAGAGAGCTGCCTCCAGCACATCTCAGGACACTGCTGGTCTGCGGTCTCCAGCCAGGGTGGAAAAGCCCCAGTTTTGAGACCCAGACCCAGTTTTGCCACAAGTTCATTGCAATAAACATATGGCCCAGAAGATGGCGCCACCACGACACTTTTACTTGCCAGTCGGTTCAACCTCCTCTCTCTCTCGGGAAGTGATGGGATCACTCGGTTAATTTACTTGCTTTATTATCCTGGCTGGGCACTCTGTGCCCATCCTTCCACTCCCACCCACAGCGTCTGTTTTCCGTCCTCTTACCCACCCTAGGGTGCACGGAAGAAGCAAGGCTGGTGATGTCAGCAAGGGCCGGCCTGAGTTACAGTGTCTGCACGTCCATGCTGGGAGGCTGGGCGTGGTGGGTGGAGTCCGCGGGTCCAGGAGTGTTATGGTGACAGCAAGGCCTTGCAAAGCTGGACTGAGACTTTCCAGCCGGCCCCACCTCTTAACTCCTGGGCATGAAAGTGCTGGGGAAGGGGTCCCGCGCCAGCTCCTCCTCGTGGGCTCCCCTGGCGGCTCAGAAGGAAACTAATCCGCCTGCAGTGCAGGAGACCCGGGTTTGACCCCTGGATCGGGAAGATCCCCTGGGGGAGGGAATGGCAACCCACTCCGGTACTCTTGCCTGGAGAATTCAATGGACAGAGGAGCCTGCTGGGCCGCAGCCCATGGGGTCGCACAGAGTTGGACACGGCTGAGCGACTAACACTTTGATTCTAAGCCTCAGGGATCAATGCCATGCCAAGCGCACAGAGTGCTCAGTAAGGATCAGTCAAAATATCAGCATTTATTAAGCTCCGCCACCGAGCCAGGGCAACACCTCCATTCCCTCACTCTGTCCAGCTGGGGACACGCGGGTGACCTGCGGCAGCTTGGACCAACTTGCCCACGCACGTGGTTGGTGAGGGGCAGAGGCAGGGCTCGACCTTGGGTCTATCTGACTCCAAGCCGATGCTCTGCTGTGGCCTCTTGGTGCTGCGCCTGACACCCTTTCCTGAAAGCCTGGGGACAACGCACTCCTGGCTAACAGGCCTCAGCCCAGCAGGACGTGCCATCCAAACCAGCTGGTTCTGAAGCTTTAGACAAAACTCACAGGGCGATCATCAGTTACTTTTGTTAAAGCTTCCTCTGTGGTTGCTGGTCCTCTGTGTGGGCCGCAGCATCCTGCCCTCCTTGTATCTCTTGGGATGGGATATTGTTGCTATGACTGCAATGATTACCATCATCGCCAACAGGGCAGACTCCCTGGGGCACTGATCATGGCTTCAAAACAGTCTCAGCTCTCAAGGAGCCCACATCAGGGGTGAACAAAGAGTGAAAGTTTTTAGTATCAAGGGTTTGTGGGCAAAGGGGTCAACAACAGTGTTCGAATGAATAACAGCTGAGACATAGCTTTGCTTTGTATTTCTGGGGTCAGGCACAGGCATTAAGTTCAATCCAATAATTGTAACAGTAATGAAAAATACTTCAGGTCTGTACTATAGTCATTTAAGGAGAGAGCAAATGTGAGGGAGGAAAATGACAAAAACACAAAGAGAACTGGCTGAGGAAAATAGAAAAGGATGGAGAAGAGACAGAGAAAGTTAGAGACACACCTCAATCGCTGGGCACATTGCATGCCCACCCTCTGCTACCATCATTGTTATCATTAGGATCACCACATTAATACAGAGGTGACTTTTTTACATACACGCGCCCAGGGAGACAGGCACTAAATGAATGATAAGCCCCTCACTGGTGCCTGTTAGGATATTGCATCTTAAGGCTTTGAGAATCAGACTGCACTGACCTCCTTCCTGGCGGAGAGCCACACAATCAGAGAGGAAATTAAAAAGAGGGACGATCACACTGAATTTTCTTTCGAGAGAACAGATGAGAAGTCCTGTCTGACTGGAGATGGATTAAGTTTGGGTTTTGCAGTTAAGCCCAAGGACGGAGTCCTACAGGGTTTTGGGGTTCTGCATAGTTACCCCCGGAGCCAGAGTATCCACATCCCTGGAGGACTGAGGGCACAGGAGGGAGCACTGTCAGGAGGCCAGTGGTCCAGGGCCCTCCAGGGTCTACAGGTCCGGGTCCCACCTCAAGATGCCACGAAAAGGCCATCTTTCAGCCCCCAGCCTGTGCCCACACCCCCACCAGCTTTGGGTTAATGTTCCCTGGTAGCTCAGCTGGTAAAGAATCCTCCTGCAATGCAGCAGACCCCAGTTCAATTCCTGGGTTGGGAAGGTCTCCTGGAGAAGGACACGGCTAACCCACTGTAGTATCTTTGCCTGGAGAATCCCCGTGGACAGAGGAGCCTGGCAGGCTACAGTCCACGGCGTTACAAAGAGTCGGACAGGACGGAGTGACTTTCACTTTCACAGATGCCCAGGTTCTGCCCCAGACCCCGTTAGTCAGCGCCCTTGAATGGGGCGCCAACAGGTGATGAAGATGAGAGTCCAGGGTGAGGACAGCTCGTGGGAAAATGGGAGAGCCACCTGCCTCGAAGTCCCCAAGATCCAAGGTTTGGCCTGCTCTTTCGTATCCAGGTTCTGGCCTGTGTCCTAAAGCACTTCCACTTTTTCTGCCTTCTGTCTCTTCTTGCTTCTCCTTCTGTTTATCTTGCTCCCTAGACCAGAGCTGTGTCAGAAGACTTTCAGGGAGGGTGGAAATGGCCTGTAACCGCACTGTCCAATTTATAAAGTAGCCACTGGCTCCAGGGGCTGTGGAGGACCTCAAATATGGCCAGTGTGACTGAAGAACTGGATTGGATTGGCTTTAAATTGTCACTTGTGTCTTATGGCCACCATATTGGACAGTGCAGACCTGGAATCTCTGGGATGAAAGGGGCCTTAGGGATCGAGTCCATTGATCTCATTGTTTATAGGAAGAAGCCACAGCAAAAGTTATGGAGCAGGAAAAAGGCATCCAACATTCAACCCCACTGATAACTAGCTATGGGTGCATAGGCAAATTATCCTACAGTTTAAGCCTCAGCTTCTTCACCTATAAAATGGGCCCAATAATACCTGTACCTTTTGGTGGCGAGTCAAAGAAATAATGTGATGGGGTGATTTTCCTGTCTGCCTGTCCAGTTTTTTTTTTTTTGGATGTACAGTTGATGCAGTGGCATTTCACAGGTGGTGCTAGTGGTAAAGAACTCTGCTGCCAATGCAGGAGATGAGAGTTCGATCCCTGGGTAGGGAAGATCCCCCAGAGGAGGAAATGGCAACCCACTCCAGTATCCTTGCCTGGGAAATCCCATGGACAGAGGAGGCTGGTGGGCTATCGTCCATAGGGTCGCAAAGAGTTGGACGTGATTTACAATATTGTATTAGTTTCAAGTGTACAGCAAAGTGATTCAGTTACATATATGTAGTTTTTAAGATTATTTTCCATTAGAGGTTATTATGAGATATTGAATATAGTTCCCTACACACTAAATCCTTGTAGTTTATGTGTTATTTCATATATAGTGGTGCATATCTGTTAATTCCATACTCCTAATTTATCTCCCGCCTCCCCCCACACACCGCCAAGCTTCCCTTTCTTCTTCAGCAATCATAGTTCATTTTATATGACTGTGAGTCTATTCCTGTTTTGCACATTAGTTCATTTGTAGTCTTTTTTAGGTTCCACACATAGTCGATGTCCTATAATTTGTCTTTCTCGGTCTGACTGACTCCAATTCTTGGAGCCCCATCCAGGAATATCATTTAAGTGTACCTCAGAGAGATTGAGACTTTGGTTCCAAACCACTGCAATGAAGTGAATCCTGTAATAAAGAACAGTTCTTCTCTTGTTGGACTATGTAATTTTTTTAACCCTTTGGTTTTAAGTGAAAGGTCCATCCACATTGCTGCAGATGGCATGATTTCATTCTCCTTTATTCTGCCTTTCCAGTTTTAAATTGCACCTATGTGTTGCCCCGTCCTCTGCCCCATGCTATGACTGTGGGTCCCTGCAGCTGACAGAGCACAAGTCTGCCGGCCAGTCCTGCTCCTTTTCTTGCTGAGTTTCCACACCCAGGACCCAGCCTCTATCCTCTTCCCCACACACGCCCTCGCTGGGGACGGAGGAACACACACCAAAGGACTTTACGGGCTTGGTGACCCTCCCAGACATGACAGATCTGGACCCTCGGGTCACTTGACGGACACTGTGCTTTGTGACCGGGGAGAAGGAACAAAAAGGTCTCTCCACATCCCGATGCCCCATCCACATGCCGCTGTGACCTCAGAAGGCAGCGGTCATTCTCTCACTGTCCTTCTCAGTTTCCATAAAGCAAGTGCTCGGGTTGTAGGGACACACATGGCCCTAAGAAAGCTATTCTTCCCATGGGACTCAGTACTCAGACTTCTTCTTTTCAGAAGGAATTTTCAAAAGCTTGTTGACAGTGTTATTTTTCCTAAATTGGTCTCTGCGTAAAAACCCACCTCCACATGTAAGAGAACAGCCTCCTGGCCCCCACTCCACGCTGTCTGGCGGGCACATGTGCAGACTACAGATGCTAGGCGTGGCGGCCCCATTTCTATGGGGAGAGCGGTTCTGAGCTGCACACAGCAGGGTCCCTGTCGGGGTGGGCAGGCGCGGCATGGGGGCTTACCCAGAAGGTGGTGGAAGCTTGGGGCCCCCCTGGGGAGGCTGTGGTCCCCTCGTCAGCTGCCTTTGCCCCGCAGCTCTGGGGTTGCGGCCACTCCGGCTCGTCTTCCACGCGCTGCTCACTTTTGCTCTTCTGTTTCCTTATGATCTGGGGAGAAGGCAGGTGACAAAAGGGACATGTTATTGGAGAGACTTCCAGCGCTATGTGGTGTAACTGGGATCATCTTTGGGAAATTTTAGTCATGGAAGAGCTTAGCTTCAACAGAATACCAGCCAGTTTCAGACCCGCCTTGTGATAAAACAGCATAACCAAAGCATTGAACATTCTACAGCACTTTACAGCTTAAAAGTAGTCCTTTTATGATGCTGACAACCTTTTCTATTAATTAAGCACCTACTGTGTGCCAGTCTCTGTGCCTGACACCATATAATACAAGGGCTTGCCTGGTGGCTCAGATGGTAAAGAATTTGCCTGCAGTGCAGGAGGGCAGGTTCAATCCCTGGGTCGGGAAGATCCGCTGGAGAAGGAAGTAGAAACCCACTCCAATGTTCTTGCCTAGAGAATTCCATGGACAGAGGAGACTAGCCGGCTGCAGTCCATGGAGTCGCTTGATGCCATATATACTCTGTGCTTGACACCATATGTGCTTTACCTCATTTAATTCTCAGAATAACTCTAAGAGCTACCTACTATAACTCCCCCTATTTTACAGATGCAGAGTTAAGCTCAGAGGTCATCAGTTAAGGATACACAGCTCATCAACAGTGGAGCTGGATCTCAAACCCAGAATCTCCGGCTGTACTTTAGGAAGGGTCTGAAAGCCCTAAGGAGGGGGCAGATACCAAGTGTCATGAAGGAAGGCTTCAGCTTGTCTGCACCGCTTGCTATGTTGGGCACGGCCACTTGGGTTTAATAAGTCCCTCTGTACAGAGGTCTCTGGGCCTAGTTCCTGGCTCCTCCCCCACTAGCTCAGTCCCTAAGGGCAAGCAGGTTCACACTGTTTAGTCGTTGCAGCGCAATGCAACCCCTCTGCCTTAGCCCCGGAGTACAACGGCAAAAGTGAGAAGAAACAAGGCAAACGACGCCCGAGACAACAGTGGTACCCACGGCGGCGCTTCCGCTGACCGAAGGCCCTGGTCCGGGCCAGGCTGGCCCACTGCCGCCGTGTGGTTGCCAGGGCGCACCTACCTTCTGCAGGATGGTTGTGGCCAGCTCCTCGGCCAGCTCCTCCTTGTGGTCCCGCAGGTAACTGGCCTCATTCTGCTTGTCCTGCAGAAGGAAGAAGAGAAGGGCGTGAGCTGTGGGTGTGTTCGGGGGACTCGGCAATCGATTTCTTGGGAGTCCTGACCACAAATACAGGGGGAGCATGGGCTCAATTCAAGGATGGTTATATGATGATGGCATCCCCACAAGATGCACTTTCTCTTGGCAGCCAGGACCCCACCCACACCACCTTCCAGACAGACATTGCGGGATGGGGGGCAGGTGGCATACCAGGCTGTCCCCGTAGGCTTCTGCTTTGGAGATGGCTTCCTCAATGGCCTCTTCGGCCACCCGTAGGGCGACAGCCAAGGTGTCCATCATGCTGTGTCCTGGACAGGAAACAGAACACAGACCACTTCTAAAAGGCAAGGACAAGTGAAAGGTCCTTGTGTCAAAGTCATGAGCTGACTAGGACGAGGCTAGGCCATCATCCTCTTGTGCCCGGCGCTACGCACAGCTCCAAATGTGCAGAGTGGCTTCAAGACGACTGGACGAAGGCACTTAATACAGCAGTCCTTCATCTACCTTCTCAGACAGAGATGATGCTTTATTTTGTGCATGTACTGTATCATTTGTAATGATAGGTAGGAAAACTGTGAAATCTTCTAAGGGCTGTGCTCATGGTTTAATGCAAATACAAAACCCACAGAAGAATTTTTTAGATTCTAAACCCATACTGTCAATAGCATTGGCTGACCTTGTCCCAGCTCAACGACCTGCTGGGCCACAGACCAAGTATCCCGGTTTAACAACGTTGTGTTGCAGATGAACAGCAAAGGGACTCAGCCATACGTATACCATCCAGGCTGCCACATAACATTGTTAAAGCTGAGATTTGAATTCAGGACTCTCTGTCTCCAAATCCTGTGATTTTAACCACAAAAGTGAGATAAATACAAACTAACATGATTTTTAAAAATAAGGCTATCATGTATCTAGTGAATGTATTTTTTGCATATGGCAACAAACAGGAGGAAGTGTCCTTAAGCCAAAGGACTTCCACAGGTGACAGAATTCTCTTTGGAGTCAAGTGCTTGGAAGAGTTCTGCTTCCTGGAGGTACTAGATTTTTACCTCTTACTTGAAAGGGAGAATTTCTATCATTCCTCTTAGTTCACCCCAGAAGCCCAACTCACATCAGGGATGAGAGCAGAGGTCTGCAGGGGCTGGTTGCCTACGTCTCCTCCTCCCTTCTCAACCTCCTGTTTCCATCTATAATCTGCTAGTCATTCATTATTGAACACATGCAAATCTCCTGAAAGCTGCCTCGGGTTCTTTGTAGAATGAGATAAGGTGTAAATATATCAATTCATTAATTAATCAACCCCTAAATTAAAATACTTAATTCAAGCTTCTTAGGCTCCTGAAGACACACCTGTGGACAGAAAGTAGCATTTGGCAAATATAATAAAATCTCCCAAACCAACCCGAGCATATGTGCTATGCATGCTAAGTCACTGCAGTCATGTCTGACTCTTTGCGTCCCCACAGACTATAGCCCGCCAGGCTCCTCTGTCCGTGGGATTCTCCTGGCAAGCCAGGTAGCCAGGCAGCTGATGAGGACATCGCAGGCTGGCTGTGTGTCCTGACAGAGACACGCCTAGGGTTCAGCACCCCTCAAGTGTGGCTGAGTGAGCACACGGTTTCCCCGGTGTCTCCATCAGAAGAGTATTAAATTTAAGTTGTCACCACACTCAGTGCTCCCTGGAGACAGACACCGTATCTCCCATCTCTCTTCTTTAAGGTGCCAGGCAATGTGTTGTTCACAGAAGTAGTGCCCTACAAATTCTTGTTGATTCAAAGTGCACCATGGCCTCCCCAGCGCTAGGCTCCGAGGGCCCCAGTGATGCCCCAGTAAACAGCAGCTGAGTCCACACGCTCATGGGCTTTCCGAGCCATCGGGTGATCAGACACATATGTAACAGCTAAGAAGCGTGTGGAGATCCTGTGCCGGGGCCAGTCACCAGCTTCCATAGAGCCCTGGAAAGAAGGAGCGTGGAGACATCAGAAAGGCTCTGGAGGCCACATTTAAGACTTTGGCACAAGGTGGAGTGGAGCGCTGAAGATGTTTGGTCCGAAAGTGAAGACTCGAGTCAGTTTCAGAGATAACTGGTGGGGGTGGAGGGAGGCTAGGAGGGCAGAGGCAGAGTGGCCGCAGTTTAGAGGATCAGTTAGGTAGAGGGGTGGTTACTTTTGTGTGTCAGAGTTATAGCTGCTGCTAAGTCGCTTCAGTCGTGTCCGACTCTGTGTGACCCCATAGATGGCAGCCCACCAGGCTCCCCCGTCCCTGGGATTCTCCAGGCAAGAACTCTGGAGTGGGTTGCCATTTGCGCCACCTGTTTAATCCAACACTAACCCAGGTGTGGCTATGAAGGTTTCTGTAGGTGTGGTTCACATTGTGGTTACTTGTGGTTAGTTGACTTTAGGTAAAGGATATTACCCTTGAAAATATCAGTAGGTCCCATCCCATCACTTGAAAGGCCTTAAGAGCAAAAACAGAGGTTTCCCAGAGAAGAAATCCTGCCTTAAGACTTGAGGATCAACTCCTAAAGAGTTTCTAGCCTGCTGACCTATTCTATAGATTTTGGGCTTGCCAGGCCCCAAAACTGTGTGACCCAAGTCCTTGAAATGAACTTCTTTGTATGTGTGCATGTGTGTTGTGTGTACATATCCTATTGGTTTTGTTACTCTGGAGAACCCTGGCTGACTTAAATGGTCACTGAAATTAATATCAATATAGGAATGTTAAGAGCAGGAAGGTGCTCAGGACATAGAATAGAACAGAAAAAGAAAAGAACTTTCTATGGAAAGGAAAAGTGCAACTTTCTATTGGAAAGAAAAAGAAACTTTCTATTGGGATAGAAAGAAAAGAACAGGATTGCAGACAGAACCAATAAGAACTTGGGAGATTGGGTGGAAGTGGGGACAGGGACTGAGGGAAAGGTTGAATCTTGACGGGGGACTTAAGTGGCTGAGGAGCTTGGTTAGGACACGCTGAGGGGTCACAGCTACTCAAGATCCCTGGAGGAGCTACAGCTCCCGATGGTCCAGCATCAGAACTCTGAGTCTAGAACTCTGGGGCTGAAGTGAGAGCTAGGCATTCAGACGGAGGTGCACCATGGTCAAGTGTCAACCCAGGGAGAAGATTCAAGCAGGAAGGATGAGAGAGGACCAGACTTTCATGCGAAGGTGTCTAAGGAGAGAACAGAGTGAGTGCAGAAGCTGTGGGGGGTGGGTGGGGGGAACACCAGAGAACCAGGGGGACTAGGAAGCACCTGTTCCAACACCCAGCACTTCAGGGAAAGAATGCAGTGTTGGAGGAGGTTCTATTTGTAATTAAAAGTTTGTTTTGCTTTTGATCTCTGTTCTAAAGGAACGATTATATTGGTATAAAAAGTCAAAGTCAATCCATAAATGGTACGTTCTTTCTAAGAATATTTCAATATGAATTGCACAAGTGAGTTTGTTGATTATTATATTCTAACTCCAGAAAAACCCACACTTAAAAGTGAAGTGAAAGTTGCTCAGTCCTGTCCAACTCTTTGCGACCCCCATAGACTGTAGCCAGCCAGTCTCCTCTCTTCATGGAATTCTCCAGGCAAGAATATTGGGGTGGGTTGCCACTCCCTTCTCCAGAGGATCTTCCCAACCCAGGGACTGAACTCAGGTCTCTTGCATTGCAGGCAGATTCTTTACTGTCTGGGCCACCAGAGAAGCCCGAAACACACACTAGTTGATTGTTAAGTATCTAGTGGTTGGTAGGGAATGAATGCACTTCTCTAGGTTACACCTTAGATATATTCAACTATTTTGATGATGCATTCACACAAATGGCAATTAAAGAAGACCCAGGGAGATGCTCATACACAATAACAGAGTTCCATCAGTGGTCCCAATGCAATGAGGGACCTGACGATCTGAAGGAGTTTCTAGTCCTCCAACCTCCCATTAGGTATAAACCCATAAGCAACCTTACCTTCTGACTGCCTGTAAAATGTTGAGTCACTGCCTGAAACACTTCCTTCATTCTCCAGGTTTGCCTCAAAGAAGTTTCCTCCTAAGAGAGAGAGAGAGAGGATATAAGATTACTAGTTGTGTAACCTTGATCAAGTTACTTAACCACTCAAACACCTGGTCTCCTTACTAGAAAAGCTGTGATAATGACAGAATTCTCCTCATGATGAGTGATGAGACACTGAATGCCTGGTCTTTAGCTACTGTTCATGGCATCAATCCAAACAGTTGCCTTTAGCCAGTGAATTAACTGTCATTAGCTGTTCGGGGAAACAAACCCAGAGCAAAACAAAGTAAGCCTCAGCATTTGATCTTTTAAGGCCTACTGCCTCTTCTCTGGTCTCCGGTCAGTTGAATGCACACCCTAGTGCCTTAGTTCCAGGCTGGAAAGTGCAGTTGGCTAAGCCCTTTTTCAGTTGGGGGTTTACCATCTGTATTCACACATTAACTCATCAAATGAGATCTTTGAAGGTGTGAGGTGTGTGTCATGGCTCTTTCCTTTTAAAATTACTATATTGTATTCCCACTGTCCACGGCAGCATGGTGATAGCAGGAGCTCAAGAAAAATTCTTGAATTGGATGCTGGTGGAAAATACTGACAGAAGCAAGAGAATAAACGTGGGTCTACATGTCTTAGCTCAAAAGGGGGAAATGCTACTGATTCCAAGTCAAACTAAGCAGTAGACCTTTGATACAAATAATAGAGCCTCCACTTCCTTGGATGGGCTGCATGGGGCTCTGGTGTGGAAACTCTGAGGGTGACTGCCATAGGTTCCTGCCGCAGGGCCAGTGGGATGTGACCTTTATGAGACATGACATTAGTGTGTGCCTGCCACAGTAACTCTATCTGACCATGTACCATTGTCTGTATTTGTGTTTTTTGACCAGCCTTTCAAAAGACCCGAGGTCACTTAATCTAGCTCTGTGACCATAGGAAGTGACTTTATCTTCCTGTGTCTCTATCTCCTCATTTATAAAATAAGCCTTTAGGATAAGTCATCACCTCAGTTCTCAGACTACACATCTAAGTGCAAATATTTCACTTTGGCTTGGCTGCATCCGGCATCCATTCATTCATCAAGCAAATATTCCATGGGGACCTAGTAGATGCTTGGCCCTGGGCTGGATGTTAGAGTGATTGGTGAGCAAAGCCAGAAGACCTCGCTGCCCCGACAACTTGTCAGTGTAGTGGATGAGAATTCAATAACCAAAGATTTATATAAATAAATAGAAAGCTATAGATACGTTGAATGCTGTGACTGGGTGGTTCACAGAATAGGGCGAGTGTTCAGTAGGGAAGATTGACCTAGATGGTGAGAGACCAGGCAAAGGGGTGCGGGGGTGGGAGGGAGTTCCGGGGCAGAGTGCACAGCTTGCATGGGGACAGGCAGTAGGGACAGTGGGGTGCACCTGAGACCTAAAGCAGAGGCTGTGTGGCAGCCTGGGGTGAGACGGGTTGGGGGCAGGCCTTGCAGTGTTCCGATCTTTGTCCCAACGTGAAGCCACCTGAAGCCAGTAAAGGCCGCAGAGGGATGATCTGGTCAGGTGTATGCTTCTAAAGGCACACACTAGCTGCTGTGTGGAGGAAAGCTTGGAAGAGGGAGAGGGTGGGTGTCTAGAGAGGAAGTGGGAAGTGCAGCCTGCCCTCTGGAGTGTCCCTGTGATAAGGAAGAGGGTGGCAGGGCGGAAGCAAAGGAGAATGTGCAGTCCAGGAAGGGCTTAGGAGACAGGAGAGACTGGCGTGATCTCAGATCAATAGGGAGGAGCCAGTTAAGGGAGAGGCTGAAAGGCAAGATGGAAGGGCTAAGTGACCTTGAGCCCTTCGTGGAAAGTGACAGTTAGATGTGGAGGTGTACACAGTCTGCCCCGTGAAGGAGGCGGCGAGGCTGCGTCCCGAGACAACACGGAGGGCGGTGGGGAGTGTGAGGAAGGGGGAGATCTGAAAGCATCCTTGGGAGCCTGCGCCAACCAGGCCAGGCTCTGATTTTGCATTATTATAAACCTTCTCGCACAACGACTCCCCCTGGGTCCCTTTACAGTCATAGGTGGGAGCTTCTGTGCGTCGTTTAGGATGATGGGGTTTTTCCAAGAGCAGAAAGTGACTGAACTGTTCTGGAGACTGAGAGCGGCAGCCAGGCACCAAGTCAGAGCTTCCGTGAGCCGGAGGAGCCTCCGACTTCACACAGCTCAGTGTTGGTAAGAGTCAGTGTCCGTCACTCAAATCCCAGGTGAAGGATGTCATAGACCCTTCCCAGAACCATATCAAAAATAGATATATCATACTAATAAATAGAAGTAGGATTTGTTTTCCCCATTTTATTTATCTAAAACTAAATAAACGAGCTTCCCTGCTGGCTCAGTGTTAAAGCGTCCACCTGCCAGTGCAGGGGACGCAGGAGGCGTGGGTTCGATTCCTGGATCAAGAAGACCCCCTGGAGGAGGAAATAGCAGCCCACTCCAGGATTCTTGCCTGGGAAGTTCCACGGACAGAAGAGCCTGGTGAGCTATGGGGCCACAAAAGTGTCAGACACAACTTAGCAACTAAACAACAACAACTAAATAAACATACATACTTATCAAGTTGTCTAGGGATTGAGTATATTCATAAGGGCTACTTTCATCTTAGAATAGCTGTTTTTGTTTGTTTGTTTGTTTGTTTTTCCCTTTTGGTTGCACGGCATGAAGGAGCTTAGGCATGCATGATCTCCTTGGCAGTGAGAGTGTGCAGTTGACCACTGGGGAACTCTCAAGAATAAATGTTAAAGATATCATGCTGAGGGACCTCCCTGGTGGCCCAGTGGGTTAGACTGTCTTCCGATGCAGGGGATGTGTGTTTGATCCCTGGTTGGGGAGCCAAGATCTCACATGCATCACAGCCAAAAAACCAAAACATAAAACAGAAACATGTTTTAGCAAATTCGATAAAGACTTTAAAAATGGTCCACATTAAAAAAAACTTTAAAAAAATGTCATGATTAATCTATCAGATAAATCACATTGAGCACACATTCCCATTGGACATTATATTTTTTATAAATCTATTTGCTTATTTCTCTGACTTCTCCACTGCAAAGTTGGCTCTGAGATGGCCAGGTTTTGCCCATCTTGTCACCCCCAGGTTTTAAGCCAGGCACTCACTAAAAGTTTACTGGACTTCCTTGGAGGTCCGGTGATTAAGACTCCATGCTTTCAATGTAGTGGGCTCAGGTTTCATCCCTGGTTGGAGAGCTAAGGTCCCACATACCTTGTGGCCCTCTAAAAATGTTTACTGAAGGAGTGAATACAACTAGGATTTATCTGATAAAACAAATGTGTTGTCAGTTAGGCCTAATCTGGTCACCAGGGCTTGCGACAGATGGTCATGCAAGGGTGCATATGATGGGTGATCCATAAGACTCTGTGAACTCAATGAATTTTCTATGGACTGATTGGTTTTATGGCAAACTACATTGGTTCATTGGAGAAGGCAATGGCATCCCACTCCAGTACTCTTGCCTGGAAAATCCCATGGATGGAGGAGCCTGGTGGGCTGCAGTCCATGGGGTCGCTAAGAGTCGGACACGACTCAGTGACTTCCCTTTCATTTTCATGCATTGGAGAAGGAAATGGCAACCCACTCCAGTGTTCTTGCCTGGAGAATCCCAGGGATGGAGGAGCCTGGTGGGCTGCCGTCTATGGGGTCGCACAGAGCCGGACACAACTGAAGCGACTTTGCAGCAACAGCAGCACACGGGTCCATGCAGTGGAGCTATTCCATAGATAAAAGGAACTTCCTGCTGAGACTCCTGGAACAGAGCACCGGTCTTGCACCCTGTAGGTTATGTTCTGACAATCAATATTCTAAATACCCTCAGGTGGAGTTGAAGATGGAAACATCTTATTCAGAACCTCCAGCTGAGGTTCTCAAGTCTTGGCTGCATCTTAAAATAACCTGGAGAGCTTTTTAAAAAATATCTGTGCTGGGCCCACCTCCAGAGATTTGGAAGTAATTGGCTGGGGGTGGAAAATGACTCTGGTGCTGTGAGTTTTTTTTCAGTTCCTGAGGTGATTCTAAAGTGTAGTCAGGCTTGAGGATGGCAGATGACAACCACATTAAGGTGCTGGGTGGTAGGTAGGAGCTAATGCTGATGACTCCACAGTCACCTAATATGACCAGGAAGCCACTCACACACTGGGAGATTTCTCCAAACTTGAGGTATAGGTAAGTCAATTTTCTAGGTGGTAGGTAGAGCCAGCCTCACTGTTTTATGATCATGACTTTACAGATTTCAGTACCGTCTCGTAAACTATCTCCTGCCTGCTTGTCTTCATGATGATCAAAAGGAAATCTTAGTTTAAATGGAGATACAGATCAAATCAAAGTAACTGATTCCAGTACTTCTGTGAAGTGTCCTGGTGCTTACAAAGTGCTTTCAAGCCTGAATTGTGCAATACTGAGGACCTAAAAGGTATCAGCCACCGGACCACACTTTTGAAACACAGAGATAAAGAAGCTATAGCTTCTGCCAGGGCCAGCAGGAGAGCAGCTTTGTAAACCATCCCCTTCATGCAACGTGGTGAGCGGGGTGATTAAGGCCCAGATGAAAGAAGTGGCGAATCACAGAGGCTCCAGGACCTAAATCTGCTTCAACAGTGGCAGAGTTATTCCCAGCAAATGATTTGCCTTTGAAAATAACACTTGAACATTTCAAAGCCTCTGGCTGGCCCACTTGGAATTCACGTTTCCCGGCTCCATCTGCAGGGCCCAAGGGAGAAAGAGAAAGAGATCGCAGTTGTGCTCTGTTTATAGGATTCTCCAAATGTGTTGGCTCCGCCCCTTCTGCTCATTTTGCATGAAGCGGTAAAGAACACCCTTGAGATTTGAATGTGGTGACATGTAAGACAGATCATGGAGCTGACCTGAGGATGAACAAGAAAGAAAAATGGGATGCAAATGATTAGCCAATGCAACTCCAGAACTTTCTTGACGTATCTCTTTGGGTTGAAAACCTGTTAACACGATTACTTTTAAGCTTCATTGCTTTTCTTTTCTTTTGGTCTTTGTTCCTTGAGAAATGTTTTTAGAAAAATCAGCAAAGAGAAGATTAAAAATAACATGTGGAAATCTTCGGCCCTGCTGTCTTAGCTACAGGCTTCCTGAGGGTGGTTTGAAAGACAGAGATTCTAACAGCTGCCACAAAAGGCCCTAATGATTCTCCGTGTTTAATGCTTCCACTCTGTTTCCCGCTCATCTCAGTGGCTCATCTCATATTTTTAGATAAGACACAACCAAAGACTTTATTGACAACACAGCAATGTAAAATAATGATGATGAAAAAGCTCCAAATGAGATGGAAGTGATATTTTTCTTCCCTCTTTCTCACAGAGAAAAAGCATTCACCTGTGTCAGCAAAGTTAAGGAAAAATCTGCTTCAAGACAGAAAAAACAGCCTTCTTTGGGGGAGACATGCTGTTCATATTCTGACAACCATTTCTTTCCACTGGCTGATCTATTAGGAATAAATAAATCCTATTTGTCTGTTTATCCTATTTATCCTTCCTTCCAAGTTGCCCCTCCTTCCTGGGAGGAAGCTGAGACTTTTCTGACTGTCCCATGACATCAAATTCTGGGCCTGGTTGGTACAAAATTTGGGGGTAGGAAGGAAGCGGGGGCGGGGCACTTATCCTCTGAGAACAGACCTAGTCTACATGACCAAACAAAGATGACTTTCCAGTGTTTTAATCTTTAGGGGGAAATGGTCAGGGATCTTTCATTTCTAGGGATTTGGAATTCAAATGTCCACAGTATGCAGAAACACTTTGGTTCTCCCAACTGCTAACAAAGCCAGCCCAGTGGAGATGCCAGAATCACAGGACTTAAAACTTAGAAACTATGGGACTTCCCTGGTAGTCCAGTGATTAAGAATCAGCTTTCCAAACCACCACAATATTGTAAAGTAATGATCCTCCAATTAAAATTAATTAATTAAAAAAAGAATCCACCTTCCAATGCAGGGTACATGGGTTCAATACCTGGTTGGGGAATGAAGACCGTGTGCCTGAACTATGCGTCCTTGTGCTCTGGAGCTTGAGTGCTGAAACATGCCACAACTAAGATTGACACAGTCAAACAAATAAATATTTTTTAAAAACTCAGAATCTTTGGTATATGCCCTTGTATTTCCGCTCCTTACCATAGTTAAGTACTTAAGCCACTTTCTGTGTCCCAAGTGAGTAGGTCATAGTGTATGGGACCTCCAAGGCAGGCCTCCTTCTATCCCACCAGCCCCCAAAGGACCCCCAGGGTGGCAGGCAGCCAGCATACCCACGATGTCAAAGCAGACCCCAGTCTCCAGCCGATGTTTCCTGTACAAGTTCTTTAAGACCTTGGCGCTGCCAAAGCGTTTGAAGCGACTCTTCACGTTATTGTAGAACCATTCCAGAGACTGGGTCCTGAGAACCCTGAGGACAACACAGAACCAGGAAACAGAAAATCAGAATTAAAGGAGAGAATTAGGAAACAAGGAATTGCAAAAGCTGCCACAGTGCTTTGCAAGCTCCTTCCATCAAGACATAGAGATTTTTCCTCTGCTCCATGGATCTGGACTGGCCCTGTGACTTGCTCTGACCACCGAGACTGGTGGAAGCAATGCTGTGCAAGTCCAGAGCCTGCCAGCTTCCTCTCTTGCTGCTTCTGGACGCCCTGCAACTCACTGCCATGTGAACAAGCCCAAAATAGCCTTTGGGATGACGAGAGACACTCAGCCTGATCACCCTTCTTGCCCCAGCCAATAGCCAGCCGACCCTTGGACAGGAGAGCGAGGCCACTGACTGCTGGCTGACTGGAGATGCATGAATAAGCCTAAGTAAGACAAGCAGAAGAACCGTGCATCTGGGTCCATCCGAAGAGCAAGCTGATAAATGCTTGCTATTTGAAGCTACTAGCTGACACATCTGTTTAGTAGCTCGCAGGCTTTATAGTTGGTAGTCTTACTACATTAACAGCATTTCTAATTCAGCTTGGGAAGATAAAAGAGCACAAGTGAGACCCTGGGCTCTATGGCAAAATTCTGCAGCCTCTTACTCATTCAGCCTGAAGTAGCGCAGGAAAGAGGTTTCCTGGTCAGCGCTATCACCCTTGGTATGAAACGCTGATGCGATTCTTCTCTTTATTGCCTGATGAGAACAAGTTGCTAAACCCCTCCCATTTTAAGAATAGCTTTTGTTATTTTTCTTATTATGAATGGTAATAATGCATAAACTCATTTTAAAAGTTCAGAGAAGCAAGATGAATATAAACGCTTCTAATCCAGTGGAGGAACAAGCACATGTTTAGCTGCCCTTCTTCCCCAGATGCCAGTGAAATGTGAGCTGTCCAAAGGGAAAGAAATTTGTAGAAATGAAGAGTGGAGCATGGAGGAGAATCAGAGATTCTGACAGATTTCTAGAAAGTTCTAAGTGAGCGATAGCATAAAGGTAACAGAGAATGTTGTCCTGCAAAACAGTCAGAAGGACTGTGACTCACAGACTGGGAGGTCAAATTTAATGTTGAATGGTGAATACTCATTGGTAAAAAAGAATGAAATCTGCACAATATGGCCTGCCAATACAGGAGACATAAGAGACGCGCCTTCGATCCCTGGGTCAGGAAGATCCCCTGGAGGAGGGCATGGCAACCCACTCCAGGATTCTTGCCTGGGGGATCCCATGGACAGAGGAGCCTGGCGGGCTACAGTTTATATGATCGCAAAGCATCAGACAAGACTGAGCGTCTCAGCACATATGCCCACAGCAGTATGGATGGACTTGGAGGGCATCATGCTGAGGGAAGTAAGTCAGACAGAGAAAGACAAATGCTGTATGATATCACTTATATGTGGAAGCAAAAAAAGGACAACAAACTAGTGAGCAAAACAAAAAAGAAGCTAGCTGACTCATAGAAAAAACAAAGTTGTTTGGTGCAGAGAGCAGGACTGGATTATGAGACGGTCCTCACAAAGCTAGTTTAGTAACTGTGTTGATGACAGTGAGGCCTCTGGGCCCCCATCCTTGTTCCCAAACTGACAGTTGGTCCAAAGATGCTTGGCTCTAGTCAAAAATAGAAAGCATTTCTCTAATAAAATTGAACAATCTGCTTGAGGAGGACTAAGACTTCAATACCGGGGTTACCACCTGGTGGTAAAGCCCTCCTTGTTCAGCACTGGGGGAGCCCCACCTGCCGGCCTACCAGACTCTGTCCATGTACCCCAGAGTCAAGCTCTCGGAGCTCTCTGCACCTATGTCACCTCCTTGGGAGGCCCTCCCTGACCCCCCTAAAAACCACCACCATGCCAACACATCTATCCTCTTCCTCCCATTTTCTCTCCAAATTTCTAGGGTGCTTCTCTGTACCTGATGTTTAATTTTATATAATTATTATTTATAAGACAATCAGTACATTAATATGCTAATTAATAATTATTAAGTTGTTTATTATCTATTTTCTATTTCCAATGGAACATATGCTCATGGAAAACAGGTTTTTTCCCCCACTGCAGTGTACATAATAGACAATAAAATCTAGTGACGGATGGACACAGCTTTAAATCTATTTTTTCTTTTTTCTTTTTTTTTTCTTTGAAAAGTGCTTTTTTTTTTTTTTCAGTTGGAGGCTAATTACTTTACAATATTGTAGTGGCTTTTGTCATACATTGACATGAATCAGCCATGGATTTACATGTGTTCCCCATCCCGATCCCCCCTCCCACCTCCCTCTCCACCCCATCCCTCTGGGTCTTCCCAGTGCACCAGGTCTGAGCACTTGTCTCATGCATCCAACCTGGGCTGGTAATCTGTTTCACCCTAGATAATATACATGTTTCGATGCTGTTCTCTTGAAACTTCCCACCCTCGCCTTCTCCCACGGAGTCCACAAGTCTGTTCTATACATCTGAGTCTCTTTTTCTGTTTTGCATATAGGGTTATCGTTACCATCTTTCTAACTTCCATATATATGTGTTAGTATACTGTAATGGTCTTTATCTTTCTGGCTTACTTCGCTCTGTATAATGGGCTCCAGTTTCATCCATCTCATTAGAACTGATTCAAATGAATTCTTTTTAATGGCTGAGTAATATTCCATGGTGTATATGTACCACAGCTTCCTTATCCATTCATCTGCTGATGGGCATCTAGGTTGCTTCTATGTCCTGGCTATGATAAACAGTGCTGTGATGAACATTGGGGTGCACGTGTCTCTTTCAGATCTGGTTTCCTCGGTGTGTATGCCCAGAAGTGGGATTGCTGGGTCATATGGCAGTCCTATTTCCAGTTTTTTAAGAAATCTCCACACTGTTTTCCATAGCGGCTGTACTAGTTTGCATTCCCACCAACAGTGTAAGAGGGTTCCCTTTTCTCCACACCCTCTCCAGCATTTATTGCTTGTAGACTTTTGGATAGCAGCCATCCTGACTGGCGTGTAATGGTACCTCATTGTGGTTTTGATTTGCATTTCTCTGATAATGAGTGATGTTGAGCATCTTTTCATGTGTTTTTTAGCCATCTATATGTCTTCCTTGGAGAAATGTCTGTTTAGTTCTTTGGCCCATTTTTTGATTGGGTCATTTATTTTTCTGGAGTTGAGCTGGAGGAGTTGCTTGTATATTTTTGAGATTAATCCTTTGTCTGTTGCTTCGTTTGCTATTATTTTCTCCCAATCTGAGGGCTGTCTTTTCACCTTGCTTATAGTTTCCTTTGTTGTGCAAAAGCTTTTAAGTTTCATTAGGTCCCATTTGTTTATTTTTGCTTTTGTTTCTAAAATTCTGGGATGTGGGTCATAGAGGATCCCGCTGTGATTTATGTCGGAGAGTGTTTTGCCTATGTTCTCCTCTAGGAGTTTTATAGTTTCTGGTCTTACATTTAGATCTTTAATCCATTTTGAGTTTATTTTTGTGTATGGTGTTAGAAAGTGTTCTAGTTTCATTCTTTTACAAGTGGTTGACCAGTTTTCCCAACACCACTTGTTAAAGAGGTTGTCTTTTTTCCATTGTATATCCTTGCCTCCTTTGTCGAAGATAAGGTGACCATAGGTTCGTGGATTTATCTCTGGGCTTTCTATTCTGTTCCATTGATCTGTATTTCTGTCTTTGTGCCAATACCATACTGTCTTGATGACTGTGGCTTTGTAGTATAGTCTGAAGTCAGGCAGGTTGATTCCTCCTGTTCCATTCTTCTTTCTCAAGGTTACTTTGGCTATTCGAGGTTTTTTGTATTTCCATACAAATTGTGAAATTATTTGTCCTAGTTCTGTGAAAAATACCGTTGGTAGCTTGATAGGGATTGCACTGAATCTATAGATTGCTTTGGGTAGTATAGCCATTTTGACAATATTGATTCTTCCAATCCATGAACACGGTATATTTCTCCATCTGTTTGTGTCCTCTTTGATTTCTTTCATCAGTGATTTATAGCTTTCTATGTATAAGTCTTTTGTTTCTTTAGGTAGATATACTCCTAAGTATTTTATTCTTTTTGTTGCAATGGTGAATGGTATTGTTTCCTTAATTTCTCTTTCTGTTTTCTCATTGTTAGTGTATAGGAATGCAAGAGATTTCTGCGTGTTAATTTTATATCCTGCAACTTTACTATATTTGTTGATTAGCTCTAGTAATTTTCTGGTAGAGTCTTTAGGGTTTTCTATGTAGAGGATCATGTCATCTGCAAACAGAGAGAGTTTCACTTCTTCTTTTCTTATCTGGATTCCTTTTAGTTCTTTTTCTGCCCTGATTGCTGTGGCCAACACTTCCAAAACTATGTTGAATAGGAGTGGTGAAAGTGGGCACCCTTGTCTTGTTCCTGATTTTAGGGGAAATGCTTTCAATTTTTCACCATTGAGGGTAATGCTTGCTGTGGGTTTGTCATATATAGTTTTTATTATGTTGAGGTATGTTCCTTCTATTCCTGCTTTCTGGAGAGTTTTAATCATAAATGGATGTTGAATTTTGTCAAAGGCTTTTTCTGTCTATTGAGATAATCATACAGTTTTTATCTTTCAATTTGTTAATGTGGTGTATCACATTGATTGATTTGCAGATATTAAAGAATCCTTGCATTCCTGGGATAAAGCCCACTTGGTCATGGTGTATGATTTTTTTAATATGTTGTTGGATTCTGTTTGCTAGAATTTTGTTAAGGATTTTTGCATCTATGTTCATCAGTGATATTGGCCTGTAGTTTTCTTTTTTTGTGGAATCTTTGTCTGGTTTTAGAATTAGGGTGATGGTGGCCTCATAGAATGAGTTTGGAAGTTTACCTTCTTCTGCAATTTTCTGGAAGAGTTTGAGTAAGATTAAATCTATTTTTTCCACTTAATATTCCTGATGGACTTTAATGTTGTTGAACAGTCTTCCCCACAGCATTTTTAGTAGCCCCAGAATTCACCATAGTATGAACATAGCATGTTTTATGTCACTAGTCTCTTGTCT